GTAAAGAATACATGTTTTTAAAAGCAAAGCAAACAAAAGGATTTAGAAACATTTTATTACTCACAATAATTGCAGGGGTGGAGCTATGACAATACTTTCATACTGCCTAGTTGTCTAAGGATAGCCCATTATGCCCCTTGCTTTCATGAAAGATTTTGTAGTCTGCCCTTGTAAAACATTTATGGAAGTGACTTCCAGCGCTCAACTTAGTGATTTAATATTATACAAAGTTCATTAGTCATGGTATCTACATCAATTTTCTACAGAAGCTATTATTACCTTTATGATTTCAGTCACTGCCTTCTTTGTAAGCAAAACAAACAGAGATTTTACTGAAGCTCTGCTATTTAAGAACTACCCATTTGTAGTATCCCGTAATAATTCCTGTCAGTGTAGGCTATCTTTGAAGGGTTTAGTGGTTTTTGCTTTTGGCAGTGCTACAATGCTGGAAATAACTTAAACTGCCCATCCCCATCTTACAGTGTCTGCTAATAAGTTAGGGTTGTTGGCTGCCAAGCAGATTTAATTTACCCACTTCTCAGCTTGCATTAACCTTTGAATAATAAAGCACAGCTGAGGCTGCTTTAAGAAACAAACCGAGGAATGAATAATTAAAAACACCTCCTCAGCCTTGGAAAGACCAATTCCTAACCATTAGGGAAGATTTAATTGTGGCTGAAGCATTAAAAAGGCGAACTGTATTCTTTATAAACTGAAACAAACGCTAAGGACATAGTGTGACTACAATAGATGTAGTATATGAAAAGCAAAGCTCTGAAAGCACTCAGTCATCAGTTCAAATGAAAAAAGTAAGAGTAGTCTGATTCTAAAGAAAAACAATTACTTCTAAAGATGGGCACTCTTACTGTCTACATACAGAAAAAAATTGCTACTACTTATAAAAAGCTATTATTCATCTGATACAGGTGGACTGGCTGGAATAGCATTTGAAGGGATAGAAATGTTAAAGCTGAAACAAAAGGTTGAGAACAGAACAGATTATAGGAAATCCCTATCTTCTCTGAATCTGTCAAGTGCTTATGCCAGCTGGGATTCTTTGCTTTTGATGGATTTAATTTTCCTTTGGGAATCCAAATCTAATGTAGCTGTCATATTTATGTGTTAAGATCACTAAACAGTCACTGCTGTTTTATATACTTGCTAATATCTAATAACATATTCACACCAAAAAGTATCCTCTTTATGTGAATAGCTGGAAACAATTTTCTGTTCCTAGACCTCCAGCAAAGTGGAGGACATCTCCCTAAATCAGGATGGGCAGTTTCCTCCCATTACTGACTTTAAAGTATGTCTGTTTAATTCTTTAAATTAGGAAATTTTTCTTGCACTTTTTTTTTTTTGGCCCAATTTAAGGTCTTTTCTATCTCTGTTCAAAACGTCAGTGCCCTTCTCATAATAACCTTTCAATTACTGGGAGTTAGGGAGGTACCAAGCAATTTTTTCTGTACCAGGCAATTTTGTGGCTTTTAAAATGGCTTTAGTCTTCATATTTATGCTTCTTTTGGGTCTCTGAATCTTCTCTAATTTTTGGTCTATCTAACTTAAAGATGATTCTTTGTACATAATAGGTAAAAGGATGACCAAATGAGAACAGAATTGGAGTTGCTGTTTTGCTATACACTAACTTCTCATTTGGGAGAACAGGAATACTATTTTTTTGTTCTTGAGGGTTATATTCTTAATATTTTCATGTGTCACATGAATTTTTGACGTAAGAAAACTGACTGTTGGCTTATGCTGAACTTGTTTCCTGCTGGGACTAAAAATCTTACAGTTCTATTTGTAATTAGTCACCACGGGAAACAGTTCTCATTACTCCAGTTTCTTCTGAACATCACTATACACTTGCCACCACCCTCAAATGGTCAGATACTTGTTTAAATTTCCTTCGGTGTTCAGTCTATTGTATTTTTCTCAGAGTTAGTCATTTTCTAACACTTGGTTTCACTCCAGCTCCAGCAAAATAAAGGATCCCTACCCTTGGTTTCCCACAGGCCATGACTTCTGTCTCTGTTACAGCACTTACCTTAGGCTATGTTGTCCTGAGCCTTCAGCAGCAACCTGGAGTCTCAAGGGGGCAGGTGTTTTGTCTTACTCATCTTTGCATCCTAGTTACCCACAATGGTGTCTGGAACCCAGCAGATAGCCAGAGTATTATTTTTTGATTGAATATGAATTCACAAAGAATTGACACTTTTAACAGCAACCAAAGAGTTGAGGGCAGAATAGGTACTGAATAAACAGATGATTAACTTCTGTGTGTGTGTGTGGAGGGATTATATTTTAAGCTGTTTAATTTTTAAAATGTTTTAAATTTATAGAAACATTGCAGAGACAGTATAGAGTCCTCATATGCCCAATAGCCAGTTTTCTTTATTATTAACATTTTACATTAGTATGGTACATTTGTCATAATTAATGAGCCAATATTGTACATTAGTATCATTAAAAGTCCTTAATTTATTGAGATTTTCTTAGTTTTTATCTAATGTCCTTTTTCTGTTCCAGAATTCCATCTAGGATGACATACTGTTTAGTAGTTGTGCCTTTTTATGCTCTATTCTTTTTTAAGTACAGATATACCTCATTTTATTATACTTTGCAGATACTGTTTTTTTTTTTTTAAACAAATTTAAGGTTTGTGGCAACTCTGCTACAAGTATGTTAGCACCATTTTTCCAACAGCATGTGCTCACTTTGTGTCTCATTTCAGTAATTCTCACATTATTATTATATTTGTAATGATGATCAGTGGTCTTTGATATTACTATTGTAATTGTTCTGGGGCACCATGACCACTCCCATGGTGTATTTTATCGATAAATACTGTGTGCATTCTGACTGTGCTAGTGACTAGCCATTCCCTCTCTTCCCCTCCATGGGTCTCCCTATTTCCTGAGACACAACAGTAATAAAATTAGGCCAATTAATAACCCTATAATGGCCTCTATGTGTTCACATAAAAAGAAGAGCTGCGTATCTCTCACTTTAAATCAAAAGCTAGAAATGATTAAGCTTGGTAAGGAAGGCATGTCTAAAGCTGAGATAGACTGAAAGCTAGGCACAAAACAGCCAAGTTGTGAATGCAAAGGAAAAGTTCTTAATTAAAAATGCTGGTCCAGTTAACACATGAATGACAAAGCAAAACAGCCTTATTGAAAGTTTTAGTGGTCCAGATAGAAGATCAAACCAGCCACAATCTTCTGTTAAGCCAAAGCCTAGTCCTGAGCAAGGCCCTAACTCTTTTTGATTGAGAGAGGAGAGGAAGCTGCAGAAGAGTTGGATGCTAGCAGAGGTTGGTTCAGGAGGTTTAAGAAGCCGTCTTGATAAGATAAAAAAGCAAGGTGAAGCAGCAAGTGCTCATGCAAAAGTGCAGCAAAATATCTAGAAGATCTAGATAAGATAATTAATGAAGATGGCTACATTAAACAACAGATTTTCAATACAGACGAAACAGCCTTATACAGGAAGAAGATGCCATGTAGGACTTTCACAGCACAAGAGAAAAAGTCCATGGCTGGCTTCAAAGATTTCAACAACAGGATGGCTCTCTTGTTATGGGCTAACACAGTTGGTGACTTTTAGTTGAAGCTAATACTGACCACTCCAAAAGTTCTAGGGCTCTTACAGATTACATTAAATCTACTCTGTGCCTACTCTAGCCTGTGCTGTATAAATGGGACAACAAAGCCTGGATGACAGCTCGTCTATTTATAACATGTTTTACTGAATATTTTAAGTTCCACTGTTGAGACCTACTGTTCAGAAAAAAAATGATTCCTTTCAAAATATTATTGCTCATTGACAATGCACCTGGTCACCTAAGAGCTCTGATGGAGTTTTCCAAGAAGATTAATGTTGTTTTCAGGCCTGTTAACCACAACATCCATTCTGTAGCCCATGAATCAGGAGCTATTTTGACTCTCAAGTCTTATTATTTAAGAAATACATTTTGTAAGGTTACAGCTGCCATAGATAATGATTCCCTGATGGATCTGGGCAAAGTAAATTGAAAACCTTCAGGAAAGAATTCACCATTCTAGATGTCATTAAGAACATTCATGATTCATAGGAAGAGGTAAAAATATCAATATGAACAAGACAACCCTCATGGATGACTGAGGAGTTCAAGACTTCAGTGGGGGAAATAACTGCAGATGTGGTGGAAACAGCAAGAGAATTAGAATTAGAAGTGACACTTGAAGATGTGACTGACTTGCTGCAATCTTATGATAAAACTTTTAGCAGATGAGTTATTTCTAATAGATAAGCAAAGAAAGTGGTTTCTTGAGATAAATCTACCAGTTGTGAAGATGCTGGGAAGACTGTTGAAATGACAACAAAGGATTTAGAATTATTATGTAAACTTAGTTGATAAAGCAGTGGTAGAGTTTGAGAGGATTGACTCCAATTATGAAAGAAGTTCTACTGTGGGTAAAATACATTCAGACAGCTTTGCGTGCTACAGAGCAATTGTTTGTGAAAGGAAGAGTCAATGGATGCACAGCAAACCTCACTATTGTCATATTTTAAGAAACTGCCACACCCACCCCAACCTTCAGTAATGGCTACCCATTAATCAGCAGCCATCAACAACAAGGCAAGACCCTCCACCAGTTAAAGGATCAACTCCTTGAGACCTGAGGTGATGGTTAACATTTTTTAAGCAATAAAGTATCTTTTAATTAAGGTATGTACATTTTGTTTTAGACAAAATGCTATTGCACTTAATAGACTACAGCATAGTGTAAACCTAACTTGTATACGCACTAGGAAATTAAAAAAATAATTTGACTCACTCTATTATGATATTTGCTTTACTGCAGTGGTCTGGAATCAAACCCACAGTGTCTTTGACCTATGCTTGTAACAAAACAAAAACTTAAGTAGAGAAACTGAGTGAAGTGTTATGGAAATACTTGGTCCATCTTTTCAACTTTTCTGTAAATCTAAAGTTATTCCAAAATAAAAGTGAATTTGTGCTTACTCTAGCATCACATATAATAACATTGGAACTATACCGAGATGAGCATGGACCCAGCAGCACAAAGATGACATAAATTTGTGAAGCATTCTATATTTTCTTTTAAAAAGTTAATTTAAAATCTGATACTGGGAAATGACAAAAGTAATGTCTTTTTTTTAAAAAAAATTTATTTATTCATGAGAGAGACAGAGAGAGAGAGGCAGGGACACAGGCAGAGGGAGAAGCAGGGTCCATGCAGGGAACCCAATGCGGGACTTGATCCTGGGTTGCCAGGATCATGCCCTAGGCCGAAGGCAGCACTAAACTGCTGAGCCACCCAGGCTGCCCAAGCAATGTCTTTCTTGAGTTTCTTTTAAAAAATTTCTGTATGTACAAATAAATATTCAGCTTGCACATTTATGTTTAAATTTTAAATATGATTACTCATCAGTTCCAAACTTTCCTTGATATACCTGCCTACAAATATCTGTTCATTAAGTTATAAAGGAGATTAGTACAGAATGGAAACGAATAACAATGAGAAAGCTTGAGACACCTGAGAAAGAAGTGGGATTGACTGGGCAATAGTTACTCCAGCATACCTACATATTTGACCATTTATCCTTTCATCTACTCTTGGGCATATAGAAAGAAGAAAAGTAAAAAGAGAGAAACAAGGCAGTGGGAGATAAAAGAAAAGTAAGAGAGCAGGAGTAAAAGATCAGTCTGAGACCACTAAAATGTGACAGGATAGACTTGTAACTTACAATTGTATTTTTATTTATTTTTTAAAGATTTTATTTATTCATGAGAGACATAGAGAGGCAGAGACACAGGCAGAGGGAGAAGCAGGCTCCATGCAGGGAGCCCGACATGGGACTTGATCCCAGAATCCCAGGTTCACTGATCTAGAGCCAAAGGCAGAAGCCCAACCACTTGAGCCACCTAGGTGCCCCACAATTATATTTTTAAAAGCTGGCAGAATTGAATTTTCTTGTCCTATTCCAGTTCAAACCCTGATGAATATAAAATCTAATTAGGTTTAGATAATATATATTGCATAATGCATATAAACGTGAAAAGGGGCACCTGGCTGCACAGTCTTTTAAAAAGCAGCCTACTCTTGGTTTCAGCTCAGGTCATGATCTCAGGGTACTGAGATTGAGCCCTCAACAGTCTCTAGGCTCAGCAGGGAGTCAGCCTGGAGATTCTCTCTCTTCTCCCTCTTGCCCTGCCCCTACCCCACCTTGGAGTAACTAAAACATCTCCATCAGATTTGATTTACACTAATTGCTTCAGCATACCATGTATTCTTAAAAAAAGGTGTTTTACTCTTTAGTAACATAAAGAAATGCTTAAAATATGTTAAATAAAAAGAAAAAATGGGGATCCCTGGGTGGCGCTGCGGTTTAGCGCCTGCCTTTGGCCCAGGGCGCGATCCTGGAGACCCCGGATCGAATCCCACGTCGGGCTCCCAGTACATGGAGCCTGCTTCTCCCTCTGCCTCTGCTATCTCTCTCTCTCTCTCCCTGTGTGTGTGTATGACTATCATAAATAAATAAAAATTAAAAATAAATAAATAAAAAAATAAAAAGAAAAAATGATGTAAATGAAATCAATTTACTTGCTTATTTATTCATTTATTCAACAAATATCTTCTAAGCTCCTCCTATGTGTCAGTCACATACGTAATGCAGATTTAGCATCTAACAAATCCAAACTCCTTCATAAGTTCATGGAATTTATATCCTAATGAGGAGAAGATAACACTAAACAAATAAACAAGTAAACACAGTTTGTCTGACAGTGAGAACTAATGGGGAACAATAAAACAGGGTCGGTAGAGGCAGTGATTCTAATTTATTTTTAAAAACAAAACAAAAACAAAAACACATATGTAGAACATTTAGGTATTATTTTTATTAAATGTGTCTACCTCTTTAAGTTGTATTTTCCCACTCCAAAAACAATCATGTAAAAGCTCCTAAAAATATATTAGCACACAATATACTGTTTTCTCTGTGAACTGTAATAGTATTTAGTTGTATGTTCACAGCTGGCTGAGGATTTGGAAAAAAAAAAAAAACTATCCTAATTCATGTAAGAGTTCTTTCTATTTTAGGTTAACAATTTTTTCACTGCAAACACAATTACATTGTTTAGGACCAGAGCATGCTAAATATTCACAACCTAATTTTTAAAATTATAATTTTGTTAAAGATTACACCTCTTCAGCTGAATGTTAAAATAAAGACAAAATTTCTTAGTGAAAAAAAAAAAAGGAATTTAATACACAAACTTCCAGAGTTAAATCAACAGTACAATTGGAAATAATAAACTCTGGACCTTATCAGTTAATGTCAGAACATTCCAATCTGATTATTTCTATAACTTTATGTATGATGTAGGTAGCAGCAACTCACGACAGCTTTTATAGTATACATGACTATACTATAACAAAAAATAGCTTATTAAACACTGAACATAGTAGAATGAAAAATCAAATGATTTAGATTCATTAAGCTTAAATTGTGGGTATCTTTTAGTGGTTTTTTACTGCCAACTTCATAAATCTTATACTATTCAAGTATAATTATATTCAATGTCTGTTCATATCAGTATTAAGAAAATATCTGAACTGTCAAAATACAAATACTATTTCTTAAATTTCAAAAACAAAAGCAACAAACAAGCACCTACCTTAGAGACAGATAATCCCACCAGGTAGCAGACAGAAAAGCAAACTGATACTGATAAAAATATGTGGGAAAAGGAACATTTTGAAAGACCACAAAGTAATCCTCTAATTTTAAATGCAGACTTTTATTTAAATGGCAAATGACAGATCAACTCATGGTTGTTCAGAAAGACTCAATTTGTTGTAGAAATATTAAAAGTATTCACAGGTTCATCTCTCATGCTCAGCTTGCCAACTCAGTGGCCCTGTATGGCAATTAAGGTAAGCAGCAGTTGATGAGAAGGTCTATGTTTCGGTAGTTACGATATTATCATATATAAGCATAGTTCTCTTAGAATAAACATATATAAATGTGTTCTTCCTTTTACTAGAACAGTATCAATAACAAGAATATGTCAAAGACCTGCAACTATGTTTGTAAACTTGGCTCACATGATTTCAAAGAGAGTTGCATGTCTAACTGAAAAATCCAGCACAAAGCAACTGAGATGTTTCCCTTTTATGGTTAATCACGCTTTAAAAATAAACTCTTGGAAAAGCTCAAACTCATATCTTGGCTTGTTGCTGCTCCTCCATAACACCTACCAAATTAAGTTTTGATTTATTGATTAGAATTTTAAGAAATTCATTTTATTCAATTTAACTATGCTACATATTAATAATGAAGTTACAGAGACCAAGAGAAATCTATTAAGGGAGGACTGAAAAGAGAATGGGTTATTACTCTTCCTAACAATGTTGCTTAAGGAAATGGTTTAGAAAAATGGTTTCAGGGCAGCCTGGGCGGCTCAGTGATTTAGCACCACCTTCAGCCCAGGGCGTGATCCTGGAGACTCGGGATCGAGTCCCACATCCAGCTCCCTGCATGGAGCCTGCTTCTCCCTCTGCCTGTGTCTCTGCCTCTCTCTCTCTCTCTCTCTCTCATGAATAAATAAATAAAATCTTAAAAAAAAAAGACCAAAGCTATGAGAATGCATACTCTCAGGAAGTATGAACAGTGAAATTAGAAGCATATCAAGAACAGAAAAATAGATGAGATCCTGTTAGGTTTGACTGGCTTTTCTGATACTAACAGATATCAAGAGGAAAGCAATGATGAGTAGATAAAAATATGCCTACCCCTGATGATGATGTAAAGGCAAGGAAATAAAGATAACCATCACAGGGTTATGACTTCTAAGAAGGAATCTTATGGGAAGAAGAGACCAGAGGCTGATGTGGGCCAGAAAGTGGCCAATCAGTGAAAAAGGCACTGAGCAGAGAACCCAGGTTCAATCTACAAAATGGGTGGTCACCAAGAAGGTAAAAGAGAATATACATACATTTTTTTTTCAAAGAATACACACAGAGTTGTGTTAGAGAGGTTTTTAAGTGCATTACTACCCTTCTTTCAACTCATTGCCAGCATTCATGAACATTAAAATTCTATGTTCCTCTGCAAATAAGTAACAAAGGTAGATTTAAAAGCTATTTGTATCAGTGGTAGTAGGATAATTAACAACTATGTTAATTGGAATTTTAGGCATTATATCTAGAACACAAACAATAGTAAGATAATGTTTTGTATTCACGATTTGCTCACCAGATAAATTTGTGGGTCTTCTGAGATTCAGCCACCTGTTCTTAGGCAACATTTAAGTACAAATGTATTTGTATAATAAAGGTCATTTGATTCTTTTGTTTCTCATGTATTCGTTATAATTAATTCAAAGTCACTGTAACCAGATGCCTGAGTAAAGAAAAGAATTACACACACAGCCCGAAGAAAGAAAGGAAAAAATCTTTTTCCCAGGCTCTAAAGGAAAAAAAGATAACTCAGAAAATTTTCCTAGGAATTTTCATAGAATTATTGAAGGTAAGGTTCTTTTTAAACATTTAAGACTTTGGACAATTTATGTTTCCTTATTACAACTCACTAGACTGGAAAAGGACTATTCTACTTATTTCAAAGGTCCAAGAGTTTATATATTTAGCTTTTCAGAGGGCTGAAACCTCACCAATAAGGTTGGAATATGATATGGATTCCAAAGGCTAATTGTAGCCCAGCTTTAGTTCCATTACAGTGAAGAGAAGAAAATGTCTTTCTTATAACCAAGGGTATATTAATTCATCCATTAAAACAAATGTAGATGCTAGATCCTGAGGGCACAGTGGTTAAGACACTGCTGTTCTTCTCGAGTTTTATCATTTAAGGGGAGAAAACAGACAAGTTAAGGGACAATTACAATGTACTATAATAAACGCTGGCTGTAATAAGTACAGAATGCTTATGGAAGCAGAGAGAAAAGGCTCCTCAACCAACTTGTGAGAGATGAGATCTGAGAGATTCAAAGAAGTTAACCAAGAGTAGGGGAAAGTGGAAAGATGGGCAGAGAGAGAAAGGCAGGTAGGGGAAGAGCAGAGGCAAAGTGCAGGAGGCA